TTCTCTTTGAGAAAGATTGGGCAAATATTTTCAATCTTCTAGATTGAACATAAAATACCTCAAAGCCAATAAATATGAAATTAATTTTTTATAACATAATATATAAAACAATATTAGTTTGTTTAATGATTAAAATTTGAATTTCTATATTAAATTAATAATTTCATTAAGAGATGTATTTAATGAAGGGTGTACATATTAAATTAATCTATTATAGCGAGTGCTACAGAAAAGTATCTATATAATTAATCGCTGAAACTAAAGAACCACTGTATATCAGTTATTCCACAAACTTTCTCTTGGTCCCAATATGGTAAAATTGGATTGTTCCTTCAATTTTCTAGCACTTTTTGTCGCCGCATGACTACTTTTTATACCGACATTTATACAAGATATAAGTCCGTCACCCAAGTATGGACATCATATAATCGACGAGGAATTCTATCAAACTTGTGTCCATAAAGTTAATGGGAGATGCAGCATTGAAGTGTTAGACTCTTTTTTTCTTAGAAAAATAAGGTTAATGTGAGTCGAAATTGTTGTTTGAAAATAATAGATTCTGGGATAAATTGTCACCATGTTGTGGTAGATGTCGTTTTGTCAAGGAAAGAGTTGGAAGCATATGAACTTGTAGCTCACATAAAAAGCAAGGAAACATGGAACTATTGCATATTGAATTATGGGAAGGAAGCACATGTTCCAATCTCTCTTGATAAATGAGTTATAATACATAATTATAGTTTATAATTTTTCATGTATATGTCCAATTTTTTGGATTATTAACAATAATTTTAATTTGAAGCGTATAAAGTATCGAGCTTTTAGCAAGGTATATATATATATCTAGAAAGTTATGTATTGATATATCCTTCATATATTGTTTTGTCAAAATATTTGAAAAGTTATATTGCAAAATAATTTAATTTCATTACAAATACCTAGTTAAATTATATAAATTCACAAAAAAAATCAATTGAAAATTAACATTTAAATAGTAAGTTATATATTAAAAAAGATTGAAAAAAAGATATTTCGTGAGTGTTTATTAATATGACAAAAGATTGAATCAGACCAAATAGACAAAAAAAAAAAAAGAACAACAAAGATTATTTAAATTCATTCGGTTAAGCTCAAATTAAATTGTATATTTTTTTTCGTTACATGATTTTTTGATTAAAAAATAATTAATAAATCTAATAAAGATTAAACTAAATAACAAATTTCATAAACAATAACTATTCATTTATTAGGCCACTTATGGAATTAACAAGACAAAATAATAATATTAGAATATATATGTATATATCTTAAAATCTCAATCCATTTATATGGATGGATACAAATAAAAATTTTTAGGACCCTAATTCCAAATTGGAAATTAAATCAAACTATTATAATTTAATTCGGTCTATTTAATTCCATCCAATATTAATTTTTTAAGCATATACCGAATTTTACCACTACTATAAATTCTAGGTAACATAACAAACTCTGCACTGAACTTGCTAACGAGTCCAATGGTCTCCCCAAATAAGGAAATCTGCCCCGTAATTTTGGGGGGTTAGAGAAATATTTTCTTTTGTTTTTCTCTTTGAGAAAGATTGAGCTAATATTTTCAATCTTCAGGATTGAACATAAAATACCTCAAAGCTAGTAAATGTGAAATTAATTTTTTATAACATAATATATACGACAATATTAGTTTAATTGATAATTAAAATTTTTATTTTTATCATAAATTAATAATTTAATTGAGAGATGTAATTAATGGGGGTTGTACATTTTAAATTAATCTAGCATAGAGAGCGTTAAAAAAAATCTATATAATTAATCTCCGAAACTAAAGAACTATTGTATACAAGCTATTCTAAAAACTTTTTCTTAGTCTCAATATGGCAAAATTAGATTGTTCTATCACTTTTCTAGCACTTTTGGTTGCCGCCAAGCTACTTTTTATACCAACACTTTCACAAGATAGAAGTTCATCACCCATGTATGAACATCATCTAATTGATGAGGAATTCTTTCAAATTTGTATCGATAAAGTTAATGGGAGATGCAACATAGAAGTGTTAGAATACTTTTTATCTCACTAAATTCAGGTTAACATGAGATGAGATTGTTGTTTGAAAATAATAGACATGAGGATAGATTGTCCCCATCTTCTGGTAGATGTCACTTTGTCAATGAAATAGTTACAGGGATATGAACTTGTAGCTCGTAAAAAAAAAGGAAATATAGAACTAATGCATATTGAATTATAGGAAGGAAGCAATGAGTTATAATACATAACTGTAGTTTATAATTTATCCTGTATATGTCCATTTTTCTGGACTATTAATAATAAATATAATTTTAAGCGTATAAAGTATAGATCTTTTAGTAAGGTAAATATAAATGTATATCTACAAAGCTATATATTGATATATCCTTCATATACTGTTTTATTAAAATATTTTAAAAGTTATAAATTGCTAAATAATTTAATTTTATGGAATACACCTGGTTAAATTATAAAAATTCACAAAGAAAAAAATCATTCGGAAATTAATACTCAAACAATATGTTATGTATGATATTTCTTGGATGTTTATTAATATAAAACAGGATTGAATCAAAATGAATACAAAAAAAAACCACAAAGACAATCGAAATTCTTTTGGTTCAGTTCGAAATAAATTTTACATTTTTTGCTTACATGATATTTTTAATTAAAAAATAATTAATAAATCTAATCAAAATAAAAAGTAAATAATAAATTTCATAAACATTAATTATTCATTTAATGTGTAATTTACAGAATTAATAAAACAAAACAATAATCGAAGAATACATATATCTTAAAATGTCATTCCATCTAATATGAAAGGAATCATATAAAATTTTTCTGGACCTTTAATTCCAAATTGAAAATTAAATTAAACTACTGTATTCTAATTCGTTCTATTTAATTCCATCTAATATTAATTATTTAGTATATGCCGAATTTTACCACTATTCTAAACTCTAGGTACCATTACAAACTTTGCATTGAACTTGCTAATGAGTCCAATGGTCTGCCCAAATAAGAAAAATCTGACCCATAATTTGAGGGATTGGATAAACATTTTCTTTTGTTTTTCTCTTTTTGAATGATTGAGCAAATATTTTGAATTATGTGAATTGAACATAAAATACCTCAAAGCCAATAAATATGAAAGTAATTTTTTTATAACATAATATATTTGTTAATATAAGTTTGCTTGATGATTAAAATTTGAATTTTTATATTAAATTAATAATTTAATTAAGAGATCTAATTAATTAAGGGTGTACATATTAAATTAATTTATTATAGCGAGCGTTACAGAAAGTATCTATATAATTAGTCACTGAAACTAAAGAACCATTGTACACAAGCTATTTTGAAAACTTTCCCTTGCTCCCAGTATGGCGAAATTGGATTGTTCCATCACTTTTCTGGCACTATTTTTCGCCGCAGGACTGCTTTTTGTACCGGCACTTTCAGAGGATATAGCCCCGTCACCCAAGTCCGAGCATCATATAGTCGATGAGGAATTCTTTCAAACTTGCGTCCAGAAAGTTAACGGGAGATGCAGCTTGAAGTGCTGGGATACCTTTTAGCTCCCAAAAATCAGCTCAACGTGAGTCGAGATTGTTGTTTGAAAATAATAGAGTCCGAGATAGACTGTCACCATATTTTGGTGGATGTTGTTTTGTCAATGAGACAGTTAGAGGCATATGAACCTGTAGCCCACAGCAAAAGCAAGGAAGTATGGAACTATTGCATAACGAATTACGGGAAGGAAGCCCATGCTCCGATCTCTCTTGACAAATGAGTTATAATACATTAATTGTAGTTTATAATTTCTCCTGTATTTGTCCATTTTTCTGGACTATTAATAATGATTTTAATTTCAAGCATATAAAGTATAGAGCTTTAAGCAAGGTATATATGTATCTACAAAGTTGCACATTGACATATCCTTGATATATTGTTTTATCAGAATATTTGAAAAGTTATATGTCCCAAAATAATTTAATTTTATCAAATGGACGGGGTTAAATTTTTTTTTTTATGAATTCATGGAGAAAATATCATTAGAAAATTAACACTCAAACAGTAAGTTATGTATGGCATTTCATGGGTGTTTGTTGATATTAAAAAGGAGACAATCAGTCCGAATAGGGCCAGAAAAAAAAAACGCTAACGCTATCTAAATTTATTCGGTTCAGCTCAAATTAAATTCTATATATTTTTTTCCTCACATGATGTTTTTAATTAAAATAAATAAATAAACCTAATAAGAACAAAACTAAATAATAAATTTCGTAAACCATACTTATTCACTTAATATGTAATATACGGAATTAACAAAACAAAACAATAATCTAAGAATATACATATCTTAAAATCTCAATCCGTTTTGTTTGGAAGGAATCAATAAAAATTTTTAGGACCTCCAATTACAAATTGAAAAATAAATCAAACTACTATATTCTTATTGATCTATTTAACTCAATCTAATAATAACATTTTAGTACATACTGAATTTTAGCACTATTGTAAATTCTAGGTCCCATAACAAACTTCGCACTTAACTTGCTGACGAGTCCAATCAACCTGCCCAAATAAGGAAAACCTGCCTCGTAGTTTGAGGCATTGGAGAAATATGTTCTTTTGTTTTTCTCTTTGAGAAAGGTTGGACAAATATTTTAATCCCGTGGATCGAACGTAAAATACCTCAAAGCCAATAAATATGAAATTAATTTTTTATAAGGTAATATGTATGTCAATATTAGTTCGTTTAACTATTAAAATTTGAATTTCTATCTTAAATTAATAACTTAATTAATGGATGTAATTAACGGAGGAGGGTGTAGATGTTAAATTAATATGTTATAGTGAGCGTTATAAAAAAAACATCTATATAATTCATCTCTAAAATTGAAGAACCATTGTACACAAGCTATTTTGAAAACTTTCCCTTGCTCCCAGTATGGCGAAATTGGATTGTTCCATCACTTTTCTGGCACTATTTTTCGCCGCAGGACTGCTTTTTGTACCGGCACTTTCAGAGGATATAGCCCCGTCACCCAAGTCCGAGCATCATATAGTCGATGAGGAATTCTTTCAAACTTGCGTCCAGAAAGTTAACGGGAGATGCAGCATTGAAGTGCTGGGATACCTTTTAGCTCCCAAAAATCAGCTCAACGTGAGTCGAGATTGTTGTTTGAAAATAATAGAGTCCGGGATAGACTGTCACCATATTTTGGTGGATGTCGTTTTGTCAATGAGACAGTTAGAGGCATATGAACCTGTAGCCCACAGCAAAAGCAAGGAAGTATGGAACTATTGCATAACGAATTACGGGAAGGAAGCCCATGCTCCGATCTCTCTTGACAAATGAGTTATAATACATTAATTGTAGTTTATAATTTCTCCTGTATTTGTTCATTTTTCTGGACTATTAATAATGATTTTAATTTCAAGCATAGAAAGTATAGAGCTTTAAGCAAGGTATATATGTATCTACAAAGTTGCACATTGATATATCCTTGACATATTGTTTTATCAGAATATTTGAAAAGTTATATGTCGCAAAATAATTTAATTTTATCAAATGGACAGGGTTAAATTTTTTTTTTATGAATTCATGGAGAAAATATTTTTTTGGCTTTGGTTTTTTCTTTTTCCTCAGTTTTTATGTTTTTATTCTGGCTTTGGCAATTGAATTGCAAACCTCAGGCTTGTCTTGCCCACTAACAAATATGATAACCACAGAGACAAAGAGCTTGTGGTTACTTCTTTGGCCATTGTTGAGCTTCTGAATTCTATTATGTCTTCCATAAACCTTCTAAATGGATCTGACAAATTCAGCTAAAAATTATATTCTATGGCCAGCATATGGAATAAGGTTAAATGAGTTTTATTTATTAGATAAGGACCTAACATCACACCAGGATCTTAAACACACTTGAAAATCTCATACTGTTGAGATCCTAAAAAATCATGAATAGTTACAATAGTTGATAACAACTCTCATGTACTCGAATAGTCATGGTTGATCGGATTCTCATGTACTCTTTTGTGTCCATAAATAATAATTGTAAATCAAAACGAAGATACGTAATTTTTGAAGAATAAAATCTCAGTTTATTATTCTCTCTAAACTTTCTATCCCTCTCTCTCTTCTCTTCTCTCTCTGTTATCTCTTCTCTCTATATATTTTTCTCTTTCTCTCTCTAACAACCTCTCTCTATATATATTTCTCTCTCTTTCTAAAACATTTTTCTTTCTCTCTCTATTTCTTTCTCCCTCTAAAATCTCCACTCTCTCTTTCTCACAAACTCTCTTCTTCTCTCTTCCCAACTTTCTCTCTTCTCTCTTTTCAGAATCTTCTTTTCTTCCCTAAAATTCAAATTCTGCACCAATATTTTCTTAAATTCAACTTCTGCCCCACTATTTCCTCAAATACAAATTTTGCCCCAATATTTTCTAAATTTTAGATTCTGCCCAACCTTTCAAATTTTCTCATAATCACCCCAAAATCATTCAAAGTTTAATATTTTTCTAAATTGAAGGTCCGGTGAATTACATGTCAAAACCAGATCCTAACAATTTAGTATCAGAGGCAGGTTCTAGATCCCAATGGGAGCCGATGATGGCCGACATTGCGAAATTTTCGATCAGATAGAGGAAAAACTCAATCTGATGATCCAGTTGTTGAGTTCTGACGTTACCTCTCTGGAGGACGCAAAACCAATGGCCTCTATTGCAGCTGTGCGCGAAGTGCAGAGTGGGACTCTTTTTTTCCCTATGCGGCATGACGAAGAAGATGAAACAAAAAGGGGTAAACTGGCTTTTAACAAGGCAAACCCTAAAACCGGTTCAATGACTAAATCAGTTGAAAAAACACTAAAACTGTTGGTTCGAGCCGGACTAATTCAAAGACAATATGAGGCCAGACTAAACCCGTGTCAAACCGAATTAGTTTATTGAACCAAACCGATCAGACCCCAGTGGACCGAATCGAACCACTCAATCTCTCTGTCACTCATATTCCCTTGTTCTCTCTTGGTCTCTCACTAATGAAAACAAAACAGAAGAAGGAGAAGCGGAAGAAGAGGAAGTGGAAGAAGAAAAAACAGAAGAAAAATGAAAAAAAAAGTGGGAAAGGAAACAAAAGAAGCGAAAGAAGAAAAGATACAAAAGATCCACATGAAGTTCTTCGGTAGCACATTAAAATATATACATATATATAAATTAATAATATCTATATATAATCATAATAAATAGTAATAATATCCTTAGATAGCAAATGTTGGAAGCTGAATTTCAACCTTGGGGACAAGGTTGATATCCAAGGAGAAGAAATTGTTGAGATCCTAGAAAATCATGAATAATTGTAATGGTTGATAAGAATTCTCACGTACTCAAATAGTTGCAATGGTTGATAAAAATTCTCATGTAACCTTTCATGTTTATAAATAATAGTTGTAAATCAAATCTAAGGAATGTAATTTTTGTAGAATAAAATCTCAGTTTATTATTCTCTCTCTAAACTTTCTATCTCTCTTATCTCTTCTCTCTTCTCCCTGTTATCTCTTCTCTCTATAAATTTCTCTTTCTCTCTCTAAAAGCCTCTCTCTATATATATATTTCTCTCTTTCTCTCTCTAACAGTCTCTCTGTTTCTAAGACAATCTTTCTTTCTCCCTCTAAAATCTCCACTCTCTCTCTTACAAACTCTCCTCTCTCCCTGACTTCCTCTCTTCTCTCTTTTCAGAATCTTCTTTTCTTCCCTAAAATTCAAATTCTGCACCAATATTTTCTTAAATTTAACTTCTGCCCCACTATTTCCTCAAATACAGATTCTGTCCCAATAGTTTCTCAATTTCAAATTCTGCCCCAACCTCTCAAATTTTCTCAGAATTACCCCAAAATCATTTAAATTTATATATTTTTAACTAACTAATTATTATATATATTATTACTTTAACTGAAAATTTAAATATATTATCATTTTTTTATTTTTAAAAATTATAAGGAAACATCAAATTCAATTTCATCTGAAGATAAATCAGGCTTATAGTCCTTGAGGACGAGCAGGGATCCTTTCAAATTCCATACTTCACGACTGCAGACTCTTTTCTTATCTTCCTCTTGATATATATATATATATATATATATATAGGTAAACACTACGGACATCTCTTTTATTATATATGGTGTTCTTCCCTTGTTAATAGATATGGATAAGCTCTGTACAGTATAGGACAGGTAAGCTGCGTAAAACCTATGAACAGCCACCATTAATCAAAGTCAGAGCCATACTTTACAAATTAAAATTCATGAAATAATTTCCCACATCTCCACCGAGCCGCCTCATATGCTATATAAATACCCTACAACCTCAGGAACTCATCCTCACGTGTTCTATTGAATTTTACATATAAGAGAAACAAAAACAATTTAGAGAAAAAGGAATGGCGTCTGAATGCCCAGGTAAGTACGGATCAACTCTTCTTTTCATATATAAGGGTAATTAATTAGTGCACAATTATAAGAAATTATATACATATACATATATGTATGGGTGTTGCAGGTAAAAACTCATGGCCGGAACTTGTTGGGAAAAACGGAGATGAGGCAGGGGAAACCATAAAGAGAGAAAATCCAAATGTCTTGGAAGCCATCGTGTTGTTGGAAGGAACTCCGGTGATCAAGAATTTTAGCTGCAACAGGGTTTGGGTTTAGGTAAGCGATTGCAAGATTGTTACTCTAGTTCCTACTATAGGCTAACATTGCCCCACGTAATTTCATATAATAAATGTAATAATACATGGGCTAGTTTCTTGACTGATCTAGCTTCCATTGTAACCAAATAAATAAATAAGTAGTTTTTATTTAATTTTCAATAATTAGTAAATTCTCTTATGTTATTTTTCTTTAGATATTTATTTGAATAATTGGAAATAAATAAATGTGACTGATATTTTATGTGATTTAATAGTTTATTATATATTAATATTATATCCTATTTTCTAATTATATACAATTTGGATTTTAATTTGATTTAAAAATTTTATTTAATTTCAATGCAAATCAAATTTTGGAGGGTAATTAGAAACCAAACTAAATTAAACTATTTCGGTTTAGTTTTTCAATTGGGTTAAATTTTTTAGTTTGGACAAAATAACTTGTAATACCCAAATTAATTTTTTGTAATTTAAATTAATTTGTAAATGTAGTTTTTTTAATTTTTTATTTTAATTTAGTATAAAAATGAAAAAAATTTGAAAGAGAATGAAATTGAAAATAATTTTGAAAAAAAAAACAAGTAAAATTTTGGATTTTGAGGGTATTTTTGAAAGAAAAATCGAAAACTATGGGTCAAAATGTAATTTAAAAAAGTTATACCACATAAGATGCCCGGTTAGTAGCTCTTACGAACTAGAACGCGCCACGTGGCAACGAACACTGACACGGTGCCACACGGGAGGCCACGCGGGCGATCCGCGTGCCCGCGATCGAACCGTCCATATTCGCTCCCGCGTGCACAGACGACCTGGATGTGTTCTCTCCCTAAACGCGCTTGGACGGTCAGATTTAAATGCGATCAACGGTCCAGATCCACTTCTTATTTAAACGCGATTGGACGGTTCATATCAGATAGCGATGAACGGTCTAGATTCACTCCCTATTTAATTGTGATCAGACGTTTCAGATCAATCGCGATGGACGGCCCATATTAAAAGGGGACGAATATAAATAATCCTCTTCACACCAAATCCTAAGCCTAGCCGTCAGACACCCTCATCGGAGAAAAAGACCCAACCGCTGGAAAGGAGAACCACCACCATCCACCGCCGCGCCGGAGCCACTTCCGATCGCCAAAAGAAGTAACAAAATTTCTTTTTGCTCATAATTCAATTTTAAACACCCCCGTGGCCATATCGGAGTAAAATGATCAACCAATTGGCCAAAAACTACGGGCAAAGCCCGGCAGTGCCGCTGCAAAAAATTTAAAAAACCACATCCGATAAGGCCCTTTCCGATTTCCGTTATGCAAAATTTTTTCACCGTTTCCTTCTCTACAGGTTGACCAAAGTAAAACACTCAACCGCAAAAGCGAGCTAGCGGAGCCGCCTCACCGAAGAGCCCTGCTGCTGGTGAGTTTCAGTTTTTCAATTTTTTCGGCCAACTGAGGTCCCTTAATGTGTTTTCTCGGAAGGATTGATGCAAAATTGGCCAAAAATAGGCAACCTGAGGTGGATCACCATCGCGGGCAGCGGCGTCGTCGCCGAAGCACGGTGGAGCCACTGTGCTGGAATTTCAAAATTAGCCAAAAAGAGGTCCTGATACTGTTTTTGGATTTTTTGGGATATTTGTAGATACTTGTAGCGTG